TAAGGCATTACCTTACTTCCTGAAATACCTCTCTGGTCCCAGGTTTGTAGAATTTATGAGAGGCAGTCAAGTGTAGTTAATGTGCTGCTTAGATTGTGTTTGATCTCTCTGGCTGTAATGTACTCTTCTTTTGCACCTCAATTCTCTTTGTCCAGCAGCCCACAATTTGAGATATATTTCACCCCACAGCCATCTGGAATAAGTCTCTTCAACCACGATGTCTTCAAAGTCATCTGCATTAAACTTGGTAAAGACCGACTTGGAGACTGGATCTTCTGGCAACTGGAAAACTTACACTTGGCCCAGTTCATAGCCTCAATCACAAACTCAATCACAGTTTTAGCAAAATTCTTGGGCTTTTTTTTTTTTTTTTTTTTTTTTTGCTTTATGTGAACCCATTTGAGAGGGCAGAGAAATAGTATAGTGGGTGGATAGTACTTGCCTTGCAAACAGCTGACCTGGGTTCAATGCCTGCCATCCTATTTCAAGCACTCTCAAGAGCAATTCCTGAGTGCAGTACCCGAGTAATCCGTGGGTGTGGCCCAAAGCTAAAGAAAAGAAAAATGAACAGATTTTAGTCTCAGAAGGAAGAACTGCTTTTCCTCAAAAGAAAGATCAATTCTTTTCCTACAATAATGAAACCTGGATAGAGCTGAGATTAGTTCTCTTTTTGTTTGTTTTGAAATTTTAGCCATTGTGACCAGCAAATGCGGCCACACAATACCTTATTATCTCATTCTTACTTTGGACAAACTGGCAGGCTACCGAATGTAACCTGCCCACATGGCAGAGTCCAGCAAACTCCCCGTGGCGTACCCAATATGCCAAATACCAGTAACAATGATGGGTCTCATTCTCCTAACCCTCGAAGAGCTTTAAATATGGCTCTTTTTAAAAAATCTCAGGGCTAGGACGAAGGCGACATTACTGGGGCCTACTCAGGCAATCGATGAACAACAGGATACTCGTGACCAGCAAGGCAGGTCTGAAGAGTTAATCTTCAGTTACAGTCTCTAGGGAGGGTCTCTAGGAAGGGTCTCTGGGGAGGGTCTCTAGAGAGGGTCTTTAGGGAGGGTCTCTAGGGCGAACCCTATGGAGGATCTCTAGGGAGGTGTCCAGGAGGGCCAGGGAGGGACACGGAGGGTCTCCTCCCAGGGTACATAAGAAGGGGGCCTCAGAAGTGCCTTACCTGCCGTCTGCCAGAGACTGAGAGAAGAGGCCGCAGTGCAGGACACCATCTGCCTTCCTGAATCTTCTACGACACAGCTTTTCCTGGCATAATGGCCCACTCGCACCATCACTCCGGGATGAGCTCCATGGGTCACACCAGCGCCCTGGAACCTCCTAACCAGCCCCCGGCAACGTCGGAGCCCCACTCCCACAGCGGAGGCACATCCTTGATGATACCCATGACCTTCTACTTCGGCTACAAGAAGGTCCAGCTGCTGTTCGCGGGGCTGCAGATCGACTCGGCTTCAGCCATGGCCCTGGCTTTTGTGTCCGTGTTCCTGCTAGCGATGGGCTACGAGGGACTCAAGAGAGCTGGTGAGTGGCTCCGAGTACAGTGCTCACCTCTCCCGAGACCAGACAAAACCTGCCCCAAGGACGCGTCCCGGCTGCAGCTGCTGAGTGCCCATCACCTCCTGCAGACGATGCTGCACGTGCTCCAGGTGACCCTGAGCTACCTGCTGATGCTGACCGCAATGACCTACAACTCCTACCTCTTCCTGGCCTTGCTTGCGGGTGCCGGCGCTGGGTACTGGCTCTTTGGTGGGAAGAAGACGGAGGACGTGGATTCCCAGAACCTCGGCAGGAACAAGGTCGAGCTGGATGACATTGGCAGAAAGGACCCCGAGCAGGGACACCAGGTGCCTCCTCGTGAGTGTCCCGTCCCTGAGGTCTACCCTGTGCAACACTGGATGCGTCCTCTCTATGTTCCCTGTCCTGAAGGCTGTCCTCTTCCTCGAGAGGGCGAAGACTGGACTCTTTGGCGGGAATCTCGCTTCTTTGAAACCTGGGGTTAGTATCTGACATGGCCCTGCAGGAGAGGATGAGGTTGATGGTCTCAGATGATCTGATCATCATCAGATCATCTCCCCTGACTGCAGTTTCCACTTGTCTTGAGCTGAAGGCCCTGGGCTTTTCTGCCCCTCTGGTTTCAGGTCCACTCATGTGTTATGTCTGATGCACTCCCTTCCTGGTTCTCCAGGAACTGTGTTTGGGCTTTGCTTCTCTAGTGTGTGGGTCTGTTGGGGTTCTTCTGGGTGTGGGGATAGAAAGCCATGAGCTTCTTCAGACTGTACAGTTGGTGGGCAAAAGCATTTGTTATTCTCAGTGAACCCAGGAGTTAAACTTGACAATAAATGCATGAGTATTCATGCTTTTCGGTGGCAAAAAAAGAAAATAAAATAAATAAAAATATGATTCTACTAATTCCTTGCTCAGAGAACTTTACTGACTTCTTATTGAACACAAATAAACTCTGATTCTCACAAGAAGAAGAGCTCAACATAAGCCAAGATAAAAAGAGTGCCACACGATTAAACTTCCAATCACATATATGTAGAAAATGTAAATTTTGTTGTTGTTGTTGTTGTTTTGTTTTGTTTTTATTAGTGAAACACCATGAGGTACAGTTGTAGACTTTCAAGTTGTTGTGCTTGGGTTTCAGTTACACAATGATCGAGTACCCATCCCACCACCAGTGCCCATTCTTCACCCCCACCACTCCCAGTATCCCTCCCACCCCCCCATCCCCCATCCCACTCTGCCTCTGTGGCAGGGCACTCCCTTTTGTTCTATCTTTCCTTTTGGGCGCTGTGGTCTGCAGAAGAGACATTGGGTAGAAATCATGTTCGGTCCATAGACAACATTCAGCAGGCATCTCCCATCCTGGGCAGATCTTTCTAGCACCCTTTAGTTGGTGCTCCCTTCTCTACCTGAGCTACCTTTACCCCTAGAGTGTGCAGCAGGCCTCCAAGGTATGGAGTGAACAACCTGGTATTTATCACAGCTGTTCTTGTGTGTTAGTCTCTTCTTTTGTTACTTTTCGTTACCCAAATGAATGCAATCTGTCTATGTCTGTCCCTCTATTTCGGACTCATTTCGCTTAGCATAATAGAAAATGTCAGTTCTTTCCTGCTTAAGTTGCAGCTCAGTTACCGCGTCCAGAGGTTCAAATAGTCTGACGCCGTGCTTACGATGACCATAGATGCTAATATAAGGGACTATAGAGTTGTCAGATATTAGCTATATCTATCAGATAATCCTGTAAGTGTTCTCGTGAGTGTCCCGTCCCTGAGGTCTACCACTATAATAAATCTCAGTGGTGCCCACACATTATGATGGTACTATAATTTTGATTGTAGATTGAGTAGAACTAAACCACTCCTCAAATGAGTCCAGCCTAAATTAGTTTTTAAAAAATTTTTATTAGTGAAACACCATGAGGTACAGTTGTAGACTTACAAATTTTTGTGCTTGGGTTTCAGTTATACTATTAACGAGTACCCATCCCTCCACCAGTGCCCATATTCCCCTAAATTATTTTATTACAAAATATCAGTTGGTCAAAGCATTTTTTGAGGGTAGACAACTCACTCCTAGAGGTACTTGGGGCCTACTTCTGTCTCTATAATTTGGAATTATTCCTGGTGGTGAACAGGGGACGCCATGTGGTGTCAGGTATCAAACATAGCTTGGCCTTGTGTAAGGTAAGAGCCCTACCTGCTGTACTGTCTCTCCAGCCCCAACACTTCTTAATTCTACAAAATAATCATTTATATTAATAATTTTTAGTAGGGATAGACATTGCAGAAGAACCCTTGTTTTGACATAGACCAAGAAAAAGCTAAGCATATTATATAAATCCACTGTCCACTGTCCTCCCGTTGTTCATTGATTTGCTCGAGCGGGCCCAGTAATGCCTCCATTGGAGGCTTTGTTGTTACTGTGTCTGGCATATCGAATACATCACGGGTAGCTTGCCAGGCTCTGCCATGCGGGCGAGATACTCTCGGTAGCTTGCCGGGCTCTCTGAGAGGGGTGGAAAGTGTGGCCCCAAACCTAAAGAAAAGAAAAATGAACACATTGTAGTCTCAGAAGGAAGAACTGCTTTTTCTCAAGAAAGATCAATCCTTTACCTACAATAATGAAACCTGAATAGAGCTGAGAAGATTAGTTCTCTTTTTGTTTGTTTTGAAATTTTAGCCATTATGACCAGCAACCAACAACTCGGCCGACCCGAGTTCCATGCCTCCGCCCCTCTTGGAGAGCCTGGCAAGCTACCGAGAGTATTCGATATGCCAAACACAGTAACAACGAAGTCTCCAATGGAGACATTACTGGGCCCGCTCGAGCAAATCGACGATCAGTGGGAGGGCCTTTATGTTTACCTTTACCTATGACAAGCAAATGCGGCCATGTGACACCTTCTTATCTCATTCTTACTTTGGACAATCTGGCAGGCTACGAAATGTAACCTGCCCACACGGCAGAGTCTGGCAAACTCCCTTTGGTGTACCCAATATGCCAAATACCAGTAACAATGATGGTCTCATTCTCCTAAGCCTGGAAGAGCTTTTTTTTTTTTTTTTTTTTTTTGTGCTTGGAAGAGCTTTAAATATGGTTCTTTTTTTAAAAAATCTCAGGGCTAGGACGAAGGAGACATTACTGGGGCCTGATTGAAGCAATGGATGAACAACAGGATGCTCATGACCAGCAAGGCAGGTCTGAAGAGTTAATCATCAGTCACAGTTTCTAGGGAGGGTCTCTAGGGAGGGTCTTTAGGGAGGGTCTCCAGGGCGGATCCCTAGGGAGGATCTCTGGGGAGGTGTCCGGGAGGGCCAGGGAGGGACAGGGAGGGTCTCCTCCCAGTGTACATAAGAAGGGGGGTTCAGAAGAGCCTTACCTGTCGTCTGCCAGAGACTGAGAGAAGAGGCCTCAGTGCAGGACTCCATCCACCTTCCTGAATCTTCTAGGACACAGCTTTTCCTGGCATAATGGCCCACTCGCACCATCACTCCGGGATGAGCTCCATGGGTTACACCAGCGCCCTGGAACCTCCAAACCAGCCCCCAGCAACGTCGGAGCCCCACTCCCACAGCGGAGGCACATCCTTGATGATGCCCATGACCTTCTACTTCGGCTACAAGAAGGTCCAGCTGCTGTTCGCGGGGCTGCAGATCGACTCGGCTTCAGCCATGGCCCTGGCTTTCGTGGCCGTGTTCCTGCTAGCGATGGGCTACGAGGGACTCAAGAGAGCTGGTGAGTGGCTCCGAGCCCAGTGCTCACCTGTCCCGAGATCAGACGGAACCTGCCCCAAGGATGCGCCCCGGCTGCAGCTGCTGAGTGCCCGTCACCTCCTGCAGACGATGCTGCACGTGCTCCAGGTGACCCTGAGCTACCTGCTGATGCTGACCGCAATGACCTACAACGCCTACCTCTTCCTGGCCTTGCTGGCGGGCGCCGGCGCTGGCTACTGGCTCTTTGGTGGGAAGAAGGCGGAGGACGTGGATTCCCAGAACCTCAGCAGGAACAAGGTCGAGCTGGATGACATTGGCAGAAAGGACCCCGAGCAGGGACACCAGGTGCCTCCTCGTGAGTGTCCCGTCTCTGAGGTCTACCCTGTGCAACACTGGATGCGTCCTCTCTATGTTCCCTGTCCTGAAGGCTGGCCTCTGCCTCTTGAGGGCGAAGACTGGACTCTTTGGCGGGAATCTCGCTTCTTTGAAACCTGGGGTTAATATCGGACATGACCCTGCAGGAGAGGATGAGGTTGATGGTCTCAGATGATCTGATCATCATCAGATCATCTCCCTTGACTGCAGTTTCCACTTGTCTTGAGCTGAAGGCCCTGGGCTTTTCTGCCCCTCTGGTTTCAGGTCCACTCATGTGTTATGTCTGATGCATTCCCTTCCTGGTTCTCTGGGGACTGTGTTCCGGTTTTGCTTCTCTAGTGTGTGGGTCTGTTGGGGTTCTCCTGGGTGTGGGGATAAAAAGCCATGAGCTTCAGACTGTACAGTTGGTGGGCAAAAGCATTTGTTATTCTCAGTGAACCCAGGAGTTAAACTTGACAATAAATGCATGAGTATTCATGCTTTTCGGTTGCAAAAAAGAAAATAAAATAAATAAAAATATGATTCTACTAATTCCTTGCTCAGAGAACTTTACTGTCTTCTTATTGAACACAAATAAACTCTGATTCTCACAAGAAGAAGAGCTCAACATAAGCCAAGATAAAAAGAGTGCCACACGATTAAACTTCCAATCACATACATGTAGAAAATGTCAATTTTGTTGTTGTTGTTGTTGTTGTTTTGTTTTGTTTTTATTAGTGAAACACCATGAGGTACAGTTGTAGACTTTCAAGTTGTTGTGCTTGGGTTTCAGTTACACAATGATCGAGTACCCATCCCACCACCAGTGCCCATTCTTCACCCCCACCACTCCCAGTATCCCTCCCACCCCCCCATCCCCCATCCCACTCTGCCTCTGTGGCAGGGCACTCCCTTTTGTTCTATCTTTCCTTTTGGGCGCTGTGGTCTGCAGAAGAGACATTGGGTGGAAATCATGTTCGGTCCATAGACAACATTCAGCAGGCATCTCCCATCCTGGGCAGATCTTTCTAGCACCCTTTAGTTGGTGCTCCCTTCTCTACCTGAGTTGCCTTTACCCCTAGAGTGTGCAGCAGGCCTCCAAGGTATGGAGTGAACAACCTGGTATTTATCACAGCTGTTCTTGGGTGTTAGTCTCTTGTTTTGTTACTTTTCGTTACCCAAATGAATGCAATCTGTCTATGTCTGTCCCTCTATTTCGGACTCATTTCGCTTAGCATAATAGAAAATGTCAATTCTTCCTGCTTAAGTTGCAGCTCAGTTACCGCGTCCAGAGGTTCAAATAGTCTGACGCCGTGCTTACGATGACCATAGATGCTAATATAAGGGACTATAGAGTTGTCAGATATTAGCTATATCTATCAGATAATCCTGTAAGTGTTCTCGTGAGTGTCCCGTCCCTGAGGTCTACCACTATAATAAATCTCAGTGGTGCCCACACATTATGATGGTACTATAATTTTGATTGTAGATTGAGTAGAACTAAACCACTCCTCAAATGAGTCCAGCCTAAATTAGTTTTTAAAAAATTTTTATTAGTGAAACACCATGAGGTACAGTTGTAGACTTACAAATTTTTGTGCTTGGGTTTCAGTTATACTATTAACGAGTACCCATCCCTCCACCAGTGCCCATATTCCCCTAAATTATTTTATTACAAAATATCAGTTGGTCAAAGCATTTTTTGAGGGTAGACAACTCACTCCTAGAGGTACTTGGGGCCTACTTCTGTCTCTATAATTTGGAATTATTCCTGGTGGTGAACAGGGGACGCCATGTGGTGTCAGGTATCAAACATAGCTTGGCCTTGTGTAAGGTAAGAGCCCTACCTGCTGTACTGTCTCTCCAGCCCCAACACTTCTTAATTCTACAAAATAATCATTTATATTAATAATTGTTAGTAGGGATAGGTACACATAGCCTATGTGTACCTAGGTCGAGAGGTCAACATGACAAATGACCTGGCACCCGAGCTGCGCAGGAGGAAGAGAGCGGCTTGGAACGCCTTCAAGAACGTCGAAGAAATAGCTAAGAGGACGAAGAACCTCCGGCTCCGGGCACATCTCTTTGATTCCACTGTTCTTCCTGCATTAACATATGCCTCAGAGACCTGGGCCCTACGCAAACAAGATGAGAACGCCATTCAGGTCTCCCAAAGAAGAATAGAAAGAGCTATGCTTGGAATATCACGTTTCACTCAAATGAGAGAACGAATCCGGAGTTCTGACATCCGTCGACGATCAAGGATCAGGGACGCTGTCTCATTTGCCAAGGTGTCGAAAATCAGATGGGCTGGTCACGTAATGAGATTTAAAGACGACCGTTGGACTAGAGCTGTTACTGATTGGATTCCACGGGATGTCAAGAGACCGCGTGGCCGCCCACCTACCAGATGGTCAGACTTCTTTGTCAAGGTCATGAACGATCGGTTTGAGGCCCTCCATGTTCCCGGAGCGAGGAGATGCCATTGGGCTACACTAGCACGCGACAGGGACAAATGGAGACGTTACTGGCGCCCGCTCGAGCAAATCGACGACTAACGGGAAGTTAAGTGATTAAGTGATTAAGTAGGGATAGACATTGCAGAAGAACCCTTGTTTTGACATAGACCAAGAAAAAGCTAAGCATATTATATAAATCCACTGTCCACTGTCCTCCCGTTGTTCATTGATTTGCTCGAGCGGGCCCAGTAATGCCTCCATTGGAGGCTTTGTTGTTACTGTGTCTGGCATATCGAATACATCACGGGTAGCTTGCCAGGCTCTGCCATGCGGGCGAGATACTCTCGGTAGCTTGCCGGGCTCTCTGAGAGGGGTGGAAAGTGTGGCCCCAAACCTAAAGAAAAGAAAAATGAACACATTGTAGTCTCAGAAGGAAGAACTGCTTTTTCTCAAGAAAGATCAATTCTTTACCTACAATAATGAAACCTGAATAGAGCTGAGAAGATTAGTTCTCTTTTTGTTTGTTTTGAAATTTTAGCCATTATGACCAGCAACCAACAACTCGGCCGACCCGAGTTCCATGCCTCCGCCCCTCTTGGAGAGCCTGGCAAGCTACCGAGAGTATTCGATATGCCAAACACAGTAACAACGAAGTCTCCAATGGAGACATTACTGGGCCCGCTCGAGCAAATCGACGATCAGTGGGAGGGCCTTTACCTTTACCTTTACCTATGACAAGCAAATGCGGCCATGTGACACCTTCTTATCTCATTCTTACTTTGGACAATCTGGCAGGCTACGAAATGTAACCTGCCCACACGGCAGAGTCTGGCAAACTCCCTGTGGTGTACCCAATATGCCAAATACCAGTAACAATGATGGTCTCATTCTCCTAAGCCTGGAAGAGCTTTTTTTTTTTTTTTTTTTTTTTTGTGCTTGGAAGAGCTTTAAATATGGTTCTTTTTTAAAAAAATCTCAGGGCTAGGACGAAGGAGACATTACTGGGGCCTGATTGAGGCAATGGATGAACAACAGGATGCTCATGACCAGCAAGGCAGGTCTGAAGAGTTAATCATCAGTCACAGTTTCTAGGGAGGGTCTCTAGGGAGGGTCTTTAGGGAGGGTCTCCAGGGCGGATCCCTAGGGAGGATCTCTGGGGAGGTGTCCGGGAGGGCCAGGGAGGGACAGGGAGGGTCTCCTCCCAGTGTACATAAGAAGGGGGGCTCAGAAGAGCCTTACCTGTCGTCTGCCAGAGACTGAGAGAAGAGGCCTCAGTGCAGGACTCCATCCACCTTCCTGAATCTTCTAGGACACAGCTTTTCCTGGCATAATGGCCCACTCGCACCATCACTCCGGGATGAGGTCCATGGGTTACACCAGCGCCCTGGAACCTCCAAACCAGCCCCCAGCAACGTCGGAGCCCCACTCCCACAGCGGAGGCACATCCTTGATGATGCCCATGACCTTCTACTTCGGCTACAAGAAGGTCGAGCTGCTGTTTGCGGGGCTGCTGATCGACTCGGCTTCAGCCATGGCCCTGGCTTTCGTGGCCGTGTTCCTGCTAGCGATGGGCTACGAGGGACTCAAGAGAGCTGGTGAGTGGCTCCGAGCCCAGTGCTCACCTGTCCCGAGATCAGACGGAACCTGCCCCAAGGATGCGCCCCGGCTGCAGCTGCTGAGTGCCCGTCACCTCCTGCAGGCGATGCTGCACGTGCTCCAGGTGACCCTGAGCTACCTGCTGATGCTGACCGCAATGACCTACAACGCCTACCTCTTCCTGGCCTTGCTGGCGGGCGCCGGCGCTGGCTACTGGCTCTTTGGTGGGAAGAAGGCGGAGGACGTGGATTCCCAGAACCTCTGCAGGAACAAGGTCGAGCTGGATGACATTGGCAGAAAGGACCCCGAGCAGGGACACCAGGTGCCTCCTCGTGAGTGTCCCGTCCCTGAGGTCTACCCTGTGCAACACTGGATGCGTCCTCTCTATGTTCCCTGTCCTGAAGGCTGGCCTCTGCCTCTTGAGGGCGAAGACTGGACTCTTTGGCGGGAATCTCGCTTCTTTGAAACCTGGGGTTAATATCGGACATGGCCCTGCAGGAGAGGATGAGGTTGATGGTCTCAGATGATCTGATCATCATCAGATCATCTCCCTTGACTGCAGTTTCCACTTGTCTTGAGCTGAAGGCCCTGGGCTTTTCTGCCCCTCTGGTTTCAGGTCCACTCATGTGTTATGTCTGATGCATTCCCTTCCTGGTTCTCCAGGAACTGTGTTTGGGCTTTGCTTCTCTAGTGTGTGGGTCTGTTGGGGTTCTCCTGGGTGTGGGGATAAAAAGCCATGAGCTTCTTCAGACTGTACAGTTGGTGGGCAAAAGTATTTGGTATTCTCAGTGAACCCAGGAGTTAAACTTGACAATAAATGCCTGAGTATTCATGCTTTTCGGTTGCAAAAAAATAAAATAAAATAAATAAAAACATGATTATGTTATTTCTTTGCTCATAGCACTTTAATGACTTCAGATTGAACACAAATAAACTCTTATTTTCACAAGAAGAAGAGCTCACCATAAGCCAAGATAAAAAGAGTGCCACACAATTAACTGCCAATCACATATATGTAGAAAATGTCAATTTTTTGTTGTTGTTTTGTTTTGGTTTTGTTTTGATTAGTGAAACACCATGAGGTACAGTGGT